AATTTAATAAATTTTAATAAGAAAGTTATACTGTCACATCAACCATATAACATACAGTTTTTCGAAGTTTTGTTTTTATAAAAAAATTTAGATTACAACACAAATGCACCAGAAAGACTAGATGCTGATTTGGCACAAAAATAAGTTACATAAGAAGAATATGTCTTGCTAATCTACAAAGATAAAAAATATCAACACTTAATTTTGTAATTACAAATTTCACCAAAAATATATTTTCGATTGGTTATATTACAATACAAAATATCTTTATTGTTGAAGAGATATAATTTGATATTTTATATGCTTATGATGAATAAAAAATTATCATTATCTATAGATAATTTTGTTCCACTAATTTTTAATATAAAAAGTTTAAGTTACATGATTATCACAAATTAGAGACTAACATTTACCAACAAATTCTCTTTACTAGAATATAATTTAATATATATTGTAAAATTAAATATTCAAAATTATCACAAACCCGTGCAACGCAAAAGCCTTGTACTAGTAAAACTATATTTAAAAATGTTGCATATAAAATGGAAGTATAAATTGAAAAAATTTTAAAAAGAATGTTCGAGCTGGCAGGAATAGTCGAGCTGAACGAGCTGAAGTGGCTCACTACTAGCTGGACCAACTGACTATTATATGAACCAGCTGACTAGTAGCTGAACCAGATGAACTAGATGAACCAGCTGGACTAGCTGACCAGCAGCTCAACCTAGCTCAGTCAGCTGATCGAGTACTGATATCAATTATTAAAATATAATGAATATCTTAACAACTCGTCATACATATATATTGTCTAATAATTCACAATATATATTTTTCTCTTAAAATATACATCACCTTTTTAAAAATTAAAAATTCTATTCTTATCGTAAAACGTTATTTTAGAAAATATAGGATAAACTTTACTCTATTTGTTAAAGAAAAAACTAATGAGAAAAAGAAAAAAATATTATTAATTCAAAGGTAATGTAAATTGTTTAACAACCTATCATAGTGCATACATGCATTTGTTTTCTACATAACTTTACATATAGTTTCTTTAAATACAGCAGTTGCCAACTATTTACTAACTTGTAAGATGATACAATCAAAATTGTATGGCATGTTGATAATATATTTTAGTAACAGAATCTACACAAATTAAAAAGAAATGCATATGAAAATATTATAAATAGAGGTTGATTTCTTAAAAAAAAAATCACAATGAAAAGTTAAGAAAAAAAAAGTTTATAGTTTTTATTTTTTACTTTGTAGAATATAATAATGGGAAAACTAAATGCAACAATAGTGCTAATGATCTTTATGATTGTCATGGTGGTCACAGTAGAAGCAAAACATAAAAAAAGTTGGATTAAATGTTTTCGTGAATGTTCAGATTCAAAACATTGTAAAGATGATGACGGTAATTGCTTTGAACGCTGTAAAATCAAATGTGGTGGCCCAAATCCACCCCATGGTCCTTCTTCCGCCCCACGGTACTTACTATTTACTCAATTCGTTTCAACTATTTTTGTAGCTTTATATTCTATTTAGTTTTTTGTGTTTTGTTAAAGACTAATTTTCTTAGTATCTATGATTAATTTGCATGAACAGGATTTTACATGAGAGGCTATCGGTAGATGTTCATGGAAGGCAACAATGATAATAAAAAAATTTGTAAACGTTTTATGATGTTGTCTACTATTTTTAACCTTATGACACAAATTCAATAAAACATTTTTTAAAATATTTGTGTATATTTAATATAGCTGGTATGGCCTATTGATACAGTTTAAATTTACGTAGATTATTTTATTCAGTAACATTAATTCAGTCTAACTGTTGTGGTCAATTGACAATAAACTAGGATTGTTCAATTTGGTAAAAATGAACCAAACTCAAATATAACATATGGTAAGATTGTTGATGTAGCATATTAATCGTATGAATGTAATAATTACAAAGTCGAAGGATTCAGATATAAGTTTGAATATAGACCAATAAAATTCAATAAATTGAAAACATGATTAATACAAATTATATTATTTTTTGATAAAATTACAAATTTATTGATTGGCATAGAGAAATATTTACACTAGGATCAAAGAAAAATAGCCATTAATGAGTAAACGGTAAATGATAACAAAAAACTGAACTAGTTGACGTACTTCAAGCTTAGCATGCCTTTAAACTTATGTTATACATAATAGTTGAACAGAATATCCTATTGCGTATAGCTTTGGCGATTGGTTATATTACAATATAATATGTTTTTAGTTTTGAAAAAACGATATTTTATATGCTTACAATAATTTTGATTTTTATCATTCATTATAGAATATTATTATTTCACTAACTTTTCAATAAATAAATTTAAAATCACATGGTTATCACAAATTAAAGATCAACATTTACCAGGAAATAACCTTTACTAAAAGTATGAAAATATATTGTAAAATTAATACATTTAGATTATCACAAACTCTTGCAATGCGTAAGCTTTCCTCTTGTAGTACTATATTTTAACGTGTTGCATATAAAATGATAGTAGAAAAAGATAGTATAAATTGAAACGATTTACATATCTAGAATTATTCAATTATAATGAATATCTTAACAACTTGTCATATATACATACTGTCTAATATTTCACCATATATATTTTTTCCTAATATATACATCACCATATTTGAATTACAAGGAATTTTTAAATTAGAGACTAATAATTACTAATCTATTATTTTTAAGAGCAAATATTATTGAATAAAAAGTAAAGGTAAAACATCCAAATAATAACACTCAAATAATAACAAGTCTGCAATGCGGGACATTTTTAAGTAATAGATTATATTTTAAAGCGTTGCAAATTAATTTTAAAGTATAATTTGAAACGATTTACCCATTATCAATTATTCAAATCTTATTAATGTCTTAACAACTTGTCAAACATGCATTTTGTACAATAATTCACCATATATATATTAAAACTTATAAATTATTCACTTATCTAAAAAGATCTTTCTAAGAAAAAAAATGGATAAAATCATACTCTAATTTCTAAGACATGAAATACACTTGAAAAAACTAATGTGAAAAGAAGAAAAATGAAGTATTTCAAAGGTAATACAATTTTTCTAACAACCTTTAATACTACATGCTTGCATTTGATATCAAAATAATTTTATGTATAGTTTGTGTAAATGCAATATTTGCTTCATATTGACTATTAGTAAGATAATTCAACCTAACTGGTATGGTCTGTTGACAATATATTTTAATAAAATGATCTATAAAATTTAAAAGAAAAGCATATTTTAATATTATAAATATAGATTGATTTCTTAAATACAAATTTACTTGTGATAAGATAAATGTTTTTTATTTTATTTCTTGAAAAGCAAAGTTTGGCTTTTATAGAATATTAAAAATGGGAAAACAGAGTGCAACAGTACTGCCAATAATACTCGCTACTTTCGCGCGGTTACAATAGAATCAAAACAAATAAAAAATTGGATTAGGCTTTTCCGTGAAGGTTTATATTCAAAACCTTGTAATACATTTACTGTATATGCATTACTCTATCAGATAATGTTTTGGAAAATATTCTGCCTCAAAATCACACGTCTACTTTATGAACAATACAATATCAATTACACAATATTTGTTTTTTGCACCTATCAATTAATACAAGAAAATAAATATATCTTCAAAGATGTGATTTATTTTTACTTCAGTTATCATGATATGGATGACATAAAATCATACACATTAACCAAGAATTTAATAAATTTTAATAAGAAAGTTATACTGTCACATCGACCATATAACATACAGTTTTTCGAAGTTTTTTTTTTATAAAGAATTTTAGATTACAACACAAATGCACCAGAAAGACTAGATGCTGATTTGGCACAAAAATAAGTTACACAAGAAGAATATGTCTTGCTAATCTACAAAGATAAAAAAATATCAACACTTAATTTTGTAATTACAAATTTCACCAAAAATATATTTTCGATTGGTTATATTACAATACAAAATATCTTTATTGTTGAAGAGATATAATTTGATATTTTATATGCTTATGATGAATAAAAAATTATCATTATCTATAGATAATTTTGTTCCACTAATTTTTAATATAAAAATTTTAAGTTACATGATTATCACAAATTAGAGACTAACATTTACCAACAAATTCTCTTTACTAGAATAAAATTTAATATATATTGTAAAATTAAATATTCAAAATTATCACAAACCCGTGCAACACAAAAGCCTTGTACTAGTAAAACTATATTTAAAAATGTTGCATATAAAATGGTAGTATAAATTGAAATTTTTTTAAAAAGAATGTTCGAGCTGGCAGGAATAGTCCAGCTGAACGAGTTGAAGTGGCTCACTACTAGCTGGACCAACTGACTATTATATGAACCAGCTGACTAGTAGCTGAACCAGATAAACTAGATGAACCAGCTGGACTAGCTGACCAGCAGCTCAACCTAGCTCAGTCAGCTGATCGAGTACTGATATCAATTATTAAAATATAATGAATATCTTAACAACTTGTCATACATATATATTGTCTAATAATTCACAATATATAATTTTCTCTTAATATATACATCACTTTTTTAAAAATTAAAAATCCCATTCTTACCGTAAAACGTTATTTTAGAAAATATAACATAAACTTTACTCTATTTGTTAAAGAAAAAACTAATGAGAAAAAGAAAAAAATATTATTAATTCAAAGGTAATGTAAATTGTTTAACAACCTTTCATAGTGCATACATGCATTTGTTTTCTACATAACTTTACATATAGTTTCTTTAAATACAGTAGTTGCCAACTATTTACTAACTTGTAAGATGATACAATCAAACTTGTATGGCATGTTGATGATATATTTTAGTAACAGAATCTACACAAATTAAAAAGAAATGCATATGAAAATATTATAAATAGAGGTTGATTTCTTAAAAAAAAAATCGCACTGAAAAGTTAAGAAAAAAAAGATTTATAGTTTTTTATTCTTTACTTTGTAGAATATAATAATGGGAAAACTAAATGCAACAATAGTGCTAATGATCTTTATGATTGTCATGGCGGTCACAGTAGAAGCAAAACATAAAAAAAGTTGGATTAAATGTTTTCGTGAATGTTCAGATTCAAAACATTGTAAAGATGATGACGGTAATTGCTTTGAACACTGTAAAATCAAATGTGGTGGCCCAAATCCACTCCATGGTCCTTCTTCCGCTCCACGGTACTTACTATTTACTCAATTTGTTTCTACTATTTTTGTAGCTTTATATTCTATTTAGTTTTTTTGTGTTTTGTTAAAGACTAATTTTCTTAGTATCTATGATTTATTTGCATGAACAGGATTTTACATGAGAGGCCATCGGTAGATGTTCATGGAAGGCAACAATGATAATAAAAAATTTTGTAAAAGTTTTATGATGTTGTCTACTATTTTTAACCTTATGACACAAATTCAATAATACATTTTTCAAAATAATTGTGTATATTTAATATAGCTGGTATGGCCTATTGATACAGTTTAAATTTACGTAGATTATTTTATTCAGTAACATTAATTCAGTCTAACTGTTGTGGTCAATTGACAATAAACTAGGATTGTTCAATTTGGTAAAAATGAACCAAACTCAAATATAACATATGGTATGATTGTTGATGTAGCATACTAATCGTATGAATGTAATAATTACAAAGTCGAAGGATTCAGATATAAGTTTGAATATAGACCAATAAAATTCAATAAATTGAAAACATGATTAATACAAATTATATTATTTTTTGATAAAATTACAAATTTATTGATTGGCATAGAGAAATATTTACACTAGGATCAAAGAAAACTAGCCATTAATGAGTAAACGATAAATGATAACAAAAAAAACTGAACTAGTTGACGTACTTCAAGCTTAGCATGCCTTTAAACTTATGTGGTACATAATAGTTGAACAGAATATCCTATTGCGTATAGCTTTAGCGATTGGTTATATTACAATATAATATGTTTTTAGTTTTGAAAAAACGATATTTTATATGCTTACAATAATTTTGATTTTTATCATTCATTATAGAATATTATTATTTCACTAAATTTTCAATAAATAAATTTAAAATTACATGGTTATCACAAATTAAAGATCAACATTTACCAGGAAATAACCTTTACTAAAACTATGAAAATATATTGTAAAATTAATACATTTAGATTATCACAAACTCTTGCAATGCGTAAGCTTTCCTCTTGTAGTACTATATTTTAACGTGTTGCATATAAAATGATAGTAGAAAAAGATAGTATAAATTGAAACGATTTACATATCTAGAATTATTCAAATATAATGAATATCTTAACAATTTGTCATACATACATACTGTCTAATATTTCACCATATATATATTATTCCTAATATATACATCACCATATTTGAATTACAAGGAATTTTTAAATTAGAGACTAATAATTACTAATGTATTATTTTTAAGAGCAAATATTATTGAATAAAAAGTAAAGCTAAAACATCCAAATAATAACACTCAAATAATAACAAGTCTGCAATGCGGGACATTTTTAAGTAATAGATTATATTTTAAAGCGTTGCAAATTAATTTAAAAGTATAATTTGAAACGATTTACCCATTATCAATTATTCAAATCTTATTAATGTCTTAACAACTTGTCAAACATGCATTTTGTCCAATAATTCACCATATATAAATTAAAACTTATAAATTATTCACTTATCTAAAAAGATCTTTCTAAGAAAAAAATGGATAAAATCATACTCTAATTTCTAAGACATGAAATACACTTGAAAAAACTAATGTGAAAAGAAGAAAAGTGAAGTATTTCAAAGGTAATACAATTTTTCTAACAACCTGTAATACTACATGCTTGCATTTGATATCAAAATAATTTTATGTATAGTTTGTGTAAATGCAATATTTGCTTCATATTGACTATTAGTAAGATAATTCAACCTAACTGGTATGGTCTGTTGACAATATATTTTAATAAAATGATCTATAAAATTTAAAAGAAAAGCATATGTTAATATTAAAAATATAGATTGATTTCTTAAATACAAATTTACTTGTGATAAGATAAATGTTTTTTATTTTATTTCTTGAAAAGCAAAGTTTGGCTTTTATAGAATCTTAAAAATGGGAAAACAGAGTGAAACAGTACTGCCAATAATACTCGCTACTTTCCCGCGGTTACAATAGAATCAAAACAAATAAAAAATTGGATTAGGCTTTTCCGTGAAGGTTTAGATTCAAAACCTTGTAATACATATACTGTAAATGCATTACTCTATCAGATAATGTTTTGGAAAAAATTCTGCCTCAAAATCACACGTCTACTTTATGAAGAATACATTATCAACTACACAATATTTGTTTTTTGCACTTATCAATTAATACAAGAAAATAAATATATCTTCAAAGATGTGATTTATTTTTACTTCAGTTATCATGATATGGACGACATAAAATCATACACATTAATCAAGAATTTAATAAATATTAATAAGAAAGTTATACTGTCACATCGACCATATAACATACAGTTTTTCGAAGTTTTTTTTTATAAAAAATTTTAGATTACAACACAAATGCACCAGAAAGACTAGATGCTGATTTGGCACAAAAATAAGTTACACAAGAAGAATATGTCTTGCTAATCTACAAAGAGAAAAAATATCAACACTTAATTTTGTAATTACAAATTTCACCAAAAATATATTTTCGATTGGTTATATTACAATACAAAATATCTTTATTGTTGAAGAGATATAATTTGATATTTTATATGCTTATGATGAATAAAATATTATCATTATCTATAGATAATTTTGTTCCACTAATTTTTAATATAAAAATTTTAAGTTACATGATTATCACAAATTAGAGACTAACATTTACCAACAAATTCTCTTTACTAGAATATAATTTAATATATATTGTAAAATTAAATATTAAAATTATCACAAATCCGTGCAACGTAAAAGTCTTGTACTAGTAAAACTATATTTAAAAATGTTGCATATAAAATGGTAGTATAAATTGAAAAATTTTTAAAAAGAATGTTCGAGCTGGCAGGAATAGTCGAGTTGAACGAGCTGAAGTGGCTCACTACTAGCTGTACCAACTGACTATTATATGAACCAGCTGACTAGTAGCTGAACCAGATGAATTAGATGAACCAGCTGGACTAGCTGACCAGCAGCTCAACCTAGCTCAGTCAGCTGATCGAGTACTGATATCAATTATTAAAATATAATGAATATCTTAACAACTCGTCATACATATATATTGTCTAATAATTCACAATATATATTTTTCTCTTAATATATACATCACCTTTTTAAAAATTAAAAATCCCATTCTTATCGTAAAACGTTATTTTAGAAAATATAGGATAAACTTTACTCTATTTGTTAAAGAAAAAACTAATGAGAAAAAGAAAAAAATATTATTAATTCAAAGGTAATGTAAATTGTTTAACAACCTATCATAGTGCATACATGCATTTGTTTTCTACATAACTTTACATATAGTTTCTTTAAATACAGCAGTTGCCAACTATTTACTAACTTGTAAGATGATACAATCAAACTTGTATGGCATGTTGATAATATATTTTAGTAACAGAATCTACACAAATTAAAAAAAAATGCATATGAAAATATTATAAATAGAGGTTGATTTCTTAAAAAAAAAATCACACTGAAAAGTTAAGAAAAAAAAAGATTTATAGTTTTTTATTTTTTACTTTGTAGAATATAATAATGGAAAAACTAAATGCAATAATAGTGCTAATGATCTTTATGATTGTCATGGCGGTCATAGTAGAAGCAAAACATAAAAAAAGTTGGATTAAATGTTTTCGTGAATGTTCAGATTCAAAACATTGTAAAGATGATGACGGTAATTGCTTTGAACGCTGTAAAATCAAATGTGGTGGCCCGAATCCACCCCATGGTCCTTCTTCTGCCCCACAGTACTTACTATTTACTCAATTCGTTTCAACTATTTTTGTAGCTTTATATTCTATTTAGTTTTTTGTGTTTTCTTAAAGACTAATTTTCTTAGTATCTATAATTTATTTGCATGAACAGGATTTTACATGAGAGGCCATTGGTAGATGTTCATGGAAGGCAACAATGATAATAAAAAAATTTGTAAAAGTTTTATGATGTTGTCTACTATTTTTAACCTTATGACACAAATTCAATAAAACATTTTTCAAAATATTTGTGTATATTTAATATAGCTGGTATGGCCTATTGATACAGTTTAAATTTACGTAGATTATTTTATTCAGTAACATTAATTCAGTCTAACTGTTGTGGTCAATTGACAATAAACTAGGATTGTTCAATTTGGTAAAAATGAACCAAACTCAAATATAACATATGGTAAGATTGTTGATGTAGCATATTAATCGTATGAATGTAATAATTACAAAGTCGAAGGATTCAGATATAAGTTTGAATATAGACCAATAAAATTCAATAAATTGAAAACATGATTAATACAAATTATATTATTTTTTGATAAAATTACAAATTTACTGATTGGCATAGAGAAATATTTACACTAGGATCAAAGAAAACTAGCTATTAATGAATAAACGATAAATGATAACAAAAAACTGAACTAGTTGACGTACTTCAAGCTTAGCATGCCTTTAAACTTATGTGGTACATAATAGTTGAACAGAATACCCTATTGCGTATAGCTTTGGCAATTGGTTATATTACAATATAATATGTTTTTAGTTTTGAAAAAATGATATTTTATATGCTTACAATAATTTTGATTTTTATCATTCATTATAGAATATTATTATTTCATTAACTTTTCAATAAATAAATTTAAAATTACATGGTTATCACAAATTAAAGATCAAAATTTACCAGGAAATAACCTTTACTAAAAGTATGAAAATATATTGTAAAATTAATACATTTAGATTATCACAAACTCTTGCAATGCGTAAGCTTTCCTCTTGTAGTGCTATATTTTAACGTGTTGCATATAAAATGATAGTAGAAAAAGATAGTATAAATTGAAACGATTTACATATTTAGAATTATTCAAATATAATGAATATCTTAACAACTTGTCATACATACATACTGTCTAATATTTCACCATATATATTTTTTTCCTAATATATACATCACCATATTTGAATTACAAGAAATTTTTAAATTAGAGACTAATAATTACTAATGTATTATTTTTAAGAGCAAATATTATTGAATAAAAAGTAAAGGTAAAACATCCAAATAATAACAAGTCTGCAATGCAGGACATTTTTAAGTAATAGATTATATTTTAAAGCGTTGCAAATTAATTTAAAAGTATAATTTGAAACTATTTACCCATTATCAATTATTCAAATCTTATTAATGTCTTAACAACTTGTCAAACATGCATTTTTTCCAATAATTCACCATATATAAATTAAAACTTATAAATTATTCACTTATCTAAAAAGATCTTTCTAAGAAACAAAATGGATAAAATCATACTCTAATTTCTAAGACATGAAATACACTTGAAAAAACTAATGTGAAAAGAAGAAAAGTGAAGTATTTCAAAGGTAATACAATTTTTCTAACAACCTGTAATACTACATGCTTGCATTTGATATCAAAATAATTTTATGTATAGTCTGTGTAAATGCAATATTTGCTTCATATTGACTATTAGTAAGATAATTCAACCTAACTGGTATGGTCTGTTGACAATATATTTTAATAAAATGATCTATAAAATTTAAACGAAAAGCATATGTTAATATTATAAATATAGATTGATTTCTTAAATACAAATCTACTTGTGATAAGATAAATGTTTTTTATTTTATCTCTTGAAAAGCAAAGTTTGGCTTTTATAGAATCTTAAAAATGGGAAAACAGAGTGCAACAGTACTGCCAATAATACTCGCTACTTTCGCGCGGTTACAATAGAATCAAAACAAATAAAAAATTGGATTAGGCTTTTCCGTGAAGGTTTATATTCAAAACCTTGTAATACATATACTGTATATGCATTACTCTATCAGATAATGTTTTGGAAAAAATTCTGCCTCAAAATCACACATCTACTTTATGAACAATACAATATCAACAACACAATATTTGTTTTTTGCACCTATCAATTAATACAAGAAAATAAATATATCTTCAAAGATGTGATTTATTTTTACTTCAGTTATCATGATATGGATGACATAAAATCATATACATTAACCAAGAATTTAATAAATTTTAATAAGAAAGTTATAGTGTCACATCGACCATATAACATACAGTTTTTCGAAGTTTTTTTTTTATAAAGAATTTTAGATTACAACACAAATGCACCAGAAAGACTAGATGCTGATTTGGCACAAAAATAAGTTACACAAGAAGAATATGTCTTGCTAATCTACAAAGATAAAAAATATCAACACTTAATTTTGTAATTACAAATTTCACCAAAAATATATTTTCGATTGGTTATATTACAATACAAAATATCTTTATTGTTGAACAGATATAATTTGATATTTTATATGCTTATGATGAATAAAAAATTATCATTATCTATAGATAATTTTGTTCCACTAATTTTTAATATAAAAATTTTAAGTTACATGATTATCACAAATTATAGACTAACATTTACCAACAAATTCTCTTTACTAGAATATAATTTAATATATATTGTAAAATTAAATATTCAAAATTATCACAAACCCGTGCAACGCAAAAGCCTTGTACTAGTAAAACTATATTTAAAAATGTTGCATATAAAATGGTAGTATAAATTGAAAAACATTTAAAAAGAATGTTCGAGCTGGCAGGAATAGTCGAGCTGAACTAGCTGAAGTGGCTCACTACTAGCTGGACCAACTGACTATTATATGAACCAGCTGACTAGTAGCTGAACCAGATGAACTAGATGAACCAGCTGGACTAGCTGACCAGCAGCTCAACCTAGCTCAGTCAGCTGATCGAGTACTGATATCAATTATTAAAATATAATGAATATCTTAACAACTCGTCATACATATATATTGTCTAATAATTCACAATATATATTTTTCTCTTAATATATACATCACCTTTTTAAAAATTAAAAATCCCATTCTTATCGTAAAACGTTATTTTAGAAAATATAGGATAAACTTTACTCTATTTGTTAAAGAAAAAACTAATGAGAAAAAGAAAAAAATATTATTAATTCAAAGGTAATGTAAATTGTTTAACAAATTATCATAGTGCATACATGCATTTGTTTTCTACATAACTTTACATATAGTTTCTTTAAATACAGTAGTTGCCAACTATTTACTAACTTGTAAGATGATACAATCAAACTTGTATGGCATGTTGATAATATATTTTAGTAACAGAATCTACACAAATTAAAAAGAAATGCATATGAAAATATTATAAATAGAGGTTGATTTCCTAAAAAAAAAATCACACTGAAAAGTTAAGAAAAAAAAGATTTATAGTTTTTTATTTTTTACTTTGTAGAATACAATAATAGGAAAAGTAAATGTAACAATAGTGCTAATGATCTTTATGATTGTCATGGCGGTCACAGTAGAAGCAAAACATAAAAAAAGTTGGATTAAATGTTTTCGTGAATGTTCAGATTCAAAACATTGTAAAGATGATGACGGTAATTGCTTTGAATACTGTAAAATCAAATGTGGTGGCCCAAATCCACCCCATGGTCCTTCTTCCGCCCCACGGTACTTACTATTTACTCAATTCGTTTTAACTATTTTTGTAGCTTTATATTCTATTTAGTTTTTTTGTTTTGTTAAAGACTAATTTTCTTAGTATCTATGATTTATTTGCATGAACAGGATTTTACATGAGACGCCATCAGTAGATGTTTATGGAAGGCAACAATGATAATAAAAAAATTTGTAAAAGTTTTATGATGTTGTCTACTATTTTTAACCTTATGACACAAATTCAATAAAACATTTTTCAAAATATTTGTGTATATTTAATATAGCTGGTATGGCCTATTGATACAGTTTAACTTTACGTAGATTATTTTGTTCAGTAACGTTAATTCAGTCTAACTGTTGTGGTCAATTGACAATAAACTAGGATTGTTCAATTTGGTAAAAATGAACCAAACTCAAATATAACATATGGTAAGATTGTTGATGTAGCATATTAATCGTATGAATGTAATAATTACAAAGTCGAAGGATTCAGATATAAGTTTGAATATAAACCAATAAAATTCAATAAATTGAAAACATGATTAATACAAATTATATTATTTTTTGATAAAATTACAAATTTATTGATTGGCATAGAGAAATATTGACACTAGGATCAAAGAAAACTAGCCATTAATGAGTAAACGATAAATGATAACAAAATACTGAACTAGTTGACGTACTTCAAGCTTAGCATGCCTTTAAACTTATGTGGTACATAATAGTTGAAAAGAATATCCTATTGCGTATAGCTTTGGCGATTGGTTATATTACAATATAATATGTTTTTAGTTTTGAAAAAACGATATTTTATATGCTTACAATAATTTTTGATTTTTATCATTCATTATAGAATATTATTATTTCACTAACTTTTCAATAAATAAATTTAAAATTACATGGTTATCAACAAATTAAAGATCAACATTTACCAGGAAATAACCTTTACTAAAAGTATGAAAATATATTGTAAAATTAATACATTTAGATTATCACAAACTCTTGCAATGCGTAAGCTGTCCTCTTGTAGTAAACGTGTTGCATATAAAATGATAGTAGAAAAAGATAGTATAAATTGAAACGATTTACATATTTAGAATTATTCAAATATAATGAATATCTTAACAACTTGTCATACATACATACTGTCTAATATTTCACCATATATATTTTTTTCCTAATATAGACATCACCAGATTTGAATTACAAGGAATTTTTAAATTAGAGACTAATAATTACTAATGTATTATTTTTAAGAGCAAATATTATTGAATAAAAAGTAAAGGTAAAACATCCAAATAATAACACTCAAATAATAACAAGTCTGCAATGCGAAACCTTTTTAAGTAATAGATTATATTTTAAAGCATCGCAAATTAATTTAAAAGTATAATTTCAAATGATTTACCCTTTATCAATTATTCAAATCTTATTAATGTCTTAACAACTTGTCAAACATGCATTTTGTCCAATAATTCACCATATATAAATTAAAACTTATAAATAATTCACTTATCTAAAAAGATCTTTCTAAGAAAAAAAATGGATAAAATCATACTCTAATTTCTAAGACATGAAATACACTTGAAAAAACTAATGTGAAAAGAAGAAAAGTGAAGTATTTCAAAGGTAATACAATTTTTCTAACAACCTGTAATACTACATGCTTGCATTTGATATCAAAATAATTTTATGTATAGTTTGTGTAAATGCAATATTTGCTTCATATTGACTATTAGTAAGATAACTCAACCTAACTGGTATGGTCTGTTGACAATATATTTTAATAAAATGATCTACAAAATTTAAAAGAAAAGCACATGTTAATATTATAAATATAGATTGATTTCTTAAATACAAATTTACTTGTGATAAGATAAATGTTTTTTATTTTATTTCTTGAAAAGCAAAGTTTGGCTTTTATAGAATCTTAAAAATGGGAAAACAGAGTGCAACAGTACTGCCAATAATACTCGCTACTTCCGCGCGGTCACAGTAGAATCAAAACAAATAAAAAATTAGATTAAGCTTTTCCGTGAAGGTTTAGATTCAAAACCTTGTAATACATATACTGTATATGCATTACTCTATCAGATAATGTTTTGGAAAAAAATCTGTCTCAAAACCTCACGTCTACTTTATGAACAATACAATATCAACTACACAATATTTGTTTTTTTGCACCTATCAATTAATACAAGAAAATAAATATATCTTCAAAGATGTGATTTATTTTTACTTCAGTTATCATGATATGGATGACATAAAATCATATACATTAACCAAGAATTTAATAAATTTTATTAAGAAAGTTATACTATCACATCGACCATATAACATACAATTTTTCGAAGTTTTTTTTTATAAAAAATTTTAGATTACAACACAAATGCACCAGAAAGACTAGATGCTGATTTGGCACAAACATAAGTTACACAAGAAGAATATGTCTTGCTAATCTACAAAGATAAAAAATATCAACACTTAATTTTGTAATTACAAATTTCACCAAAAATATATTTTCGATTGATTATATTACAATACAAAATATCTTTATTGTTGAAGAGATATAATTTGATATTTTATATGCTTATGATGAATAAAAAATTATCATTATCTAAAGATAATTTTGTTCCACTAATTTTTAATATAAAAATTTTAAGTTACATGATTATCACAAATTAGAGACTAACATTTACAAACAAATTCTCTTTACTAGAAACTAATTTAATATATATTGTTAAATTAAATATTCAAAATTATCACAAACCCGTGCAACGCAAAAACCTTGTACTAGTCAAACTATATTTAAAAATGTTGAATATAAAATGGTAGTATAAATTGAAAAAAAATTAAAAAGAATGTTCGAGCTGGCAGGAATAGTCGAGCTGAACGAGCTGAAGTGACTCACTACTAGCTGGACCAACTGACTATTATCTGAACCAGCTGACTACTAGCTGAACCAGCTGAACTAGATGAACCAGCTGGACTAGCTGACCAGCAGTTCAACCTAGCTCAGTCAGCTGATCGAGTATTGATATCAATTATTAAAATATAATGAATATCTTAACAACTTGTCATACATATATATTGTCTAATAATTCACAATATATATTTTTCTCTTAATATATACATCACCTTTTTAAAAATTAAAAATCCCATTCTTATCCTAAAACGTTATTTTAGAAAATATAGGATAAATTTTACTCTATTTTTTAAAGAAAAAACTAATGAGAAAAAGAAAAAAATATTATTAATTCAAAGGTAATGTAAATTGTTTAACAACCTATCATAGTGCATACATGCATTTGTTTTCTACATAACTTTACATATAGTTTCTTTATATATTGTCTAATAATTCACAATATATATTTTTCTCTTAATATATACATCATATTTTTAAAAATTAAAAATCCCATTCTTATCCTAAAACGTTATTTTAGAAAATATAGGATAAACTTTACTCTATTTTTTAAAGAAAAAACTAATGAGAAAAAGAAAAAAATATTATTAATTCAAAGGTAGTGTTAATTGTTTAACAACCTATCATAGTGCATACATGCATTTGTTTTCTACATAACTTTACATATAGTTTCTTTAAATACAGCAGTTGCCAACTATTTACTAACTTGTAAGATGATACAATCAAACTTGTATGGCATGTTGATAATATATTTTAGTAACAGAATCTACACAAATTAAAAAGAAATGCAAATGAAAATATTATAAATAGAGGTTGATTTCTTAAAAAAAAAATTCACACTGAAAAGTTAAGAAAAAAAATATTTATAGTTTTTTTTTACTTTGTAGAATATAATAATGGGAAAACTAAATGCAACAATAGTGCTAATGATCTTTATGATTGTCATGGCGGTCACAGTAGAAGCAAAACATAAAAAAAGTTGGATTAAATGTTTTCGTGAATGTTCAGATTCAAAACATTGTAAAGATGATGACGGTAATTGCTTTGAACGCTGTAAAATCAAATGTGGTGGCCCAAATCCACCCCATGGTCCTTCTTCCGTCACACAGTACTTACTATTTATTCAATTCGTTTCAACTATATTTGTAGCTTTATATTCTATTTAGTTTTTCTGTTTTGTTAAAGACTAATTTTCTTAGTATCTATGATTTATTTGCATGAACAGGATTTTACATGAGAGGCCATCGATAGATGTTCATGGAAGGCAACAATGATAATAAAAAAAATTGTAAAAGTTTTATGATGTTGTCTACTATTTTTAACCTTATGACACAAATTCAATAAAACATTTTTTAAAATATTTGTGTATATTTAATATAGCTGGTATGGCCTATTGATACAGTTTAATTTTACGTAGATTATTTTATTCAGTAACATTAATTCTGTCTAACTGTTGTGGTCAATTGACAATAAACTAAGATTGTTCAATTTGGTAAAAATGAACCAAACTCAAATATAACATATGGTAAGATTATTGATGTAGCATATTAATCGTATGAATGTAATAATTACAAAGTCGAAGGATTCAGATATAAGTTTGAATATAAACCAATAAAATTCAATAAATTGAAAACATGATTAATACAAATTATATTATTTTTGATAAAATCATACAATAATCAAGAATTTAATAAATTTTATTAAGAAAATTACACTGTCACATCGACCATATAACATACAATTCTTCGAAGTTTTTTTTTTTAAAAAATTGAAGATTACAACACAAATCAACCAGAAAGACTAGATGCTGATTTGGCATAAACATAACTAGGTTCTATAAAACCTCTTTGTAACACCCAGCACAGTGATTGCTTTAAACGCTGTAAAATTAAATGTGGTGGCCCAAACCCTCCCATAGTTTCCTTTCACTCCACGGTACCATTTATTTTCTGAATTCCTGTTGATTATATTTATATCTTGATGTATTTATATTTTGAAGACTAATGCTTTTACTCTGTGATTTATTTGCATAAACAGAATTTCACATGAGATAACATCGGCAGAAGTTCGTGGAAGACAATAATGATTAAAAAAGAAAAACTGTAAGAGTTTTGTGATCATGTCTACCATTTTTAACTTTCTATTACAAATTCAATAAAAATATTGGTTATATATTTGTGTATATTCAGTATAGCTGGTGTGGCCTACTGATACAGTACCTTTGCGTATATTCGTTTACTCTATAATGTTAAAACAGTCTAACTAGTATGGCCTATTGACATTAAACTATGGCTGTTCAATTTGGTAAAACTGAATCGAACCGAGTTGAACGAAATATTTTACATGGTTGGATTTTGGATATATCATAAGATTCGGAAATGGTTTGGATATAAACCAACCAAACTGATAAAATTTTATATTTATTAATCATCACTGAGAAATATTTACATTGGTATCAAAGAAAAGGAAAGCGACTATCAATGCATACAGAATAAAGAATAACCAAAAACTAAGCTAGCTGAAATACTTTAAATCACCTGTGTAACATTCTATTGCGCATTGCCTTGTTGATCATATGGGTCATCTATTGCACAGCTTTTCTGATGCCATCGAGCGGGCGTACCCGCCAAATTATATTATATAGTATATACTATGTAAATTATGTTATCCTGAAAACCTAATGTCTAACTTTTTTAATAAGAATAAATATAATATATATATATAATAGCTGCTGATGTCATCATTTTTGTAGGAAAACAAATCAACAAATCTAACGGTTGAGATTTTTTGATTAGTTTTGATTTGAAAATTCAATGATTAGGATGTGATTGCTGACATTATATTTTAATAGTTAAAAATATGTAGATTTAATCTAACAATTATTATTATTTTATTATTATTGAATGGAAAAGATTATATTTATTTTATTTACCAAACATTGCAACTTTACGAACCATTGTGATTTTTTCATTACAATTGCTAAAAACACATCAATCTAATTGTTAATAATCTTTGTTTTAAGATTTAACGTAAATATTAGATTTATTATATTTACTGAATATACACATATTTATGAACTGTTGGAACAACTGAAATAAACATTTACAACAATTTAAATGAATCATTACTACAATTGGGTTTATAGTTACAACTTTTGGTGACTAACTATTGCAATTGTTGGGTTTATGGTTACAGTTGATGATCAACCATTGTAATATTTTGAAGTAACATTTAGTTTTACTATAAAAGGGAGTTGTGGGCATTGCCAAAATCACAACAACAAACAGAAATAGAGAAAATAAGAAAGAAAGAGAGAGAAAGTTTTACTATTCCAAAAGATCATAAAAGATCTTTAGAAAAACACATATCAACACTAGAACTTTAGTGTGCCTCTTATATCTTAACTTAGAACAAGAGAGATTTTTAGTTGTCTGATCCTAAAATAGATTTCGTGTAACCCAAGACTTGATAAGGATCAAAATACTCTTTAAAGATTAAAATAGAGCTGTAAAGATAATATTTTTTATTTTTTGAACAGACACAAAATCGGAAGTTGTAACTTTTATGAATCATTGTAACTTTTCACTCTGAAGTCCATATATAACCCACTATTTTTACTTAACTTTCTTTAGTAAAAAGACTTTGAGTTATTTATGTAACCATCACGGTAAGCAATTCAAATTTAAAGAGATATATTAGCGGTTGATCTTAAAACTCATTGTTTTTCATGTGACAAATAATCATTTTCAATCAAAGTGTTGTGTCTTCATTATCCATTTCAGTAGTTTCCTACAAAGCAAATAAGGTTAATATATTAGAATAGTTTATATTGTTTATCCATTGTTATTTCAATATTACTCATTTAATACGATCTTTAGAAATACAAATATTATTAAATGGTTAAAAGTTTAATATGCTAATTTATTTTACTTTGATTATTTATAGATAACAGAAGATCTCAGGAGTTCGAAAACCTAAATCAAATAGTTTTATTATGCGTAAAGAATTTGAAAATGAAAACAGTGAAAATAAAAAATATACCAATGCAAGAATTTTATAACGAACAAGATAATAAGAATTTCCATCATTACACTGAAAATAAGTTTTCATGACAAATATAACAAGGAAGGTAAAATTTTTCCACTCCTAACATTTTTTATTTGAGTTTTCCGATTTTACCCTTCAGGAAAGTCTTCCTAAATGTTTTTTTCTGTTAATGTTTCGTGATGTTTTTAGGAAGGTCTTCCAAATACTAGAATTTAACATCGTTTCATATGGTTTAGGAAAAACTTTCCTTATTTTTTTTTTTAAATTTCCTGAATTGTGGAACGACTTCCTGAATTGTGGAAGGGTTTTCTGAATCGTGGAAATTCTTCTTGAATTTGAGTGGTATAAATTAACAAAAATAATAATCAATTACGATTTACGAAGGCATTCCTAAATACATGTAATTTCCTCAATTTATACATTTTAGAAAAATCTTCCTAAAACTTTAGAATATCTTCCTAAATTTACGCTCATCTCCTTCCTCACATTTGCGATATCCAAACCCTAAATTCCGTTGATTTCTTTTTTTCACCATTGTTGTTGTTTTAGCTCGTGTTTCTTGAGTTTTTCACCCAATTATATCAGATCTATCTATCATAATATGATTTTGAGCATTAAATCCCGAAATCACTTTCCCATAAAAAAAACCCAAAAAACTAAGAGATTCATAATCACAAATCACAATCAAAATGAGAAGAGTGATCCTAAACAAAACAAATGATTTGATTTCAGATCAGTTTTGGCCATTGGTACATTTCTTTGTACATTATTTTTCTTCTCTTTTTATTAACTAATGTTTTGTCTAACTAAGATTAATATGGTACAAAATGTTATGAAAGCAATTTTTTAGAGTGTTACTGTATATATGGAACAAAAACTTAGATTATGTGCATTTGAGGGAATTATTTTTGTTTATATGAATTTAAATTTTATATGTATTATTATAATATTATTATATAGTTTAGTTTTGTATTAGGATGTCCATTAAAAATAAATAAAGCAGGTTATTTACACCTTTACTTTTAATCTTAATATCATAAAATTTTATTATTAATTTTGAAATTAATAGTAATATTTTTGTAATGGCATTTCAGAATGTGTGAATATGCTAATGAACTTTGAAAGATCTGAGGCAATTGGTAGACAAAATTACAATGATTTATTCTCTAATGGTTTGTAAAAATTATGTTTTATCGCTAGTTTAAATCAAAAAATTAATTTACTGTGGTTATTTAGATAAAATTTATTTTATGGTATAATAGGTTCAAGAAAGCGGAAATATTATCAATTTACATAAGAACAAAAGCCTCAAAGGTATTTATATATTTATTATATAATCAATAATTTTTAATATTTTTAATAAAAAACTCAGGCAAGGAAATAATGATTATAAAAAAGACTGAACAAAATAAATTAGTGAAGTGTGGCCGTGTGGAGATTGTAATGCTTTGGTATGGCTTGCTGAAAGCACTGAAAAATATCGTATTACAAAACATCATTTATCTTCTATTTCTGTAAACAAGACCGTGTAAAATTACCTAATATATAAAAGCCCAAAGGCGGACCCACGTTATGGGCAGATGGTTAACTGACACCCTTTAAAAAATATAAACTCTAATTGTAGCTAATAATATGTAAATTTCAGCAGCTCGGTTGGTTAAAAGCTGGTATATTAAAAAAGCTGGTCTATTTAGGCCCCTCAAACCTAAGTTCAAACTTCTTTTTTGTACATTTGTTTTTTAATTTTGTTCTTTTTATATGGGCCTAAATCCCAATGTATTTAATATTTTTTAGTTTAGACTTAAAATTTCGAACTTTTTTTCCTTTTTTAGTTTGGGCTAAAAATTATATATTAAAAATAATTATACATTAATTTGTATAAATTTTGACTGTGGTAAATTTTTTTTCTGGATCAGTCATTGCAAGAGCCTCCCCTTGTGCTGAAAAACCTCTGATGTGATCCTACTTTTAGGAATAACATTAAAGTTTTAAGATTTAATATTTGTTTTAAGATTTAACGGTGAAAAATTAATATATTATATTTACTGAACAAATACACAATCAAAAAGTTGTAACTCTTGTGAATCATTGTGATTCTTTAACATTTAAAAGTTTTATTTCAATCATTGTAACTTTTCACTTTAAAACCTATATATAACCCACCATTTTTACTCATCTTCTTTTAGTAGGTGAAAAGAATTTGAATTGTTTTGGTAACCGTCACGGCAAGCAATTAAAATTAAAGAGATATATTAGTAGATGGTCTTAAAATTCGCTCTTAGTCATGCACGGCCAAATAATCATT